TGTGAGTTGAAATTCAGAGCCTGACTCAACCCACCCCCCCTTAAGCATCAATAAAATGAGTACCGATTTGGGACACGTCATCTGTGGAGTTCCTTTCCAGGATTATTGTAACTTTTTGGAGGTTATGGCATCAATATGTAGTGTTTATTCGCCAAATGGTGTATCTTTGCACGGCTTATATAAACATTAATAAATAAGGAAGATCACAGTAGGGTGTAGTAAAAAGGTCATGCTTGAATATTTGATAGTTCGGGAAGGCGGTCTTCCACAACAGAACAGCTAAGAGCTTGGGGCTGTTTTTCGTTTTTTTTCCACAAATATCTTCACAGAGCTGAAACCTACCGCATATTTTTTTCTGCAGAAGTGAGCAAACCCCCCTTTGCGTCATTTATTTGTGAGATCCAGTCATACTTGCTTTAACCCGTACCAAGCAAAATTACGTGCCCCGAAAGTGTATTTGAAAAAAAACTAAAAATGCTTTCTTTTTGGTCAGTCAAACATTTAGTGAATCCATAATACAGGTTTTTTTTTGGGTTAGATCGCGTAAATATAAATGTGTCGTTAAACCCGCCACCACCCGACACAGCCAATTAGTAAGGTTTGTCACGTGAACAGAACATGCCAATTCGTTACAAGTACAGCACACCTTTTGTAAATGTTGTGGATTTGCTCTCCAACACACCAGTGTGCTAGTAACGAATTAGCATGCTCTGTTTACATGACAAACCTTACTAATTGGCTGTGTCGGGTGGCGGTGGGTTTAACGACACATTTATATTTACGCGATCTAACCCAAAAAAAACCTAGATTATGGATGACATTGGTCGCGAAAGCGTGTTAAACATTTAGTGAATCGGTCACGCCACGCGAGGGTATCTCTCCGTCCCAGCGATCCACGGTCCGCATTGGTCATTGCCATTGGTGACCCCTGAACCAGCTGTAGAATTTACACGCCCCACATCGTGGGGGGGGGGACCAGCCTATCTTCATATTGGGCAGCCGTGAACTTCAAAAGCTGCCCGTGGTAGACTTGTTCGCGTGCTGGACTTCCTGAGGTTTCCCGTTGAGTTCCATCGGCCCGGTGAAGCAGCTGAAACAATGAGAATGCTATAGTAGTAGGTTTTTACCCTTTAAACTGGTACAAAACTGACACCTTTATACAAGGCATCATGTTTGCAATAACCGCAACACAAGGAGTCAAAATGCAAACAAAAAGAAACAACTCTGATAATGGCAATGATATGCACTGTCCTTGAAGTTGACTTCAAAGGTGTCAGTTTGGTACCAGTTTAAAGGGTAAAAACCTACTACTATATTTTGCCACTGGTAAAGGAGGTCTCATAATGAGAAAGCTCCTAAACTCCCCCGTCCCCCCGCCTCTGTCCACCCAGCGGTCCTAAATGGGTTCGACACAGTTAACCGATTGGCGGGTCGCGTGTGCGGTTGGGCAACATTTGGGTACTCCCACTTCTTCCCCATGACATCTGGCCAGCGTGGACGAGTAGGCCAAATAACCTTGGAAGCACAGCTGCCTCTTAATGGAGGAGACCCTTCTGCCAGCAGCAGCGTGAGCAAGTAAATGCAGGGCTGCTGTACCTTTGCCTTGACCTTACATATCTCTTGCCGACACATCCCTGTCCGCTCTTAAACCCTGTATTATTCCTATTTAAATGTGTGTTAATTAGCCTTAGAACCTTTGCCCTGGTGGACACCAACCAAGTCCCTTGATTTATTAACATTTCTTCTTCCTAAATACGTTAATAAAGCCTTGGTGCCACTGGCGTTGTCGCTAATGAGAGAAATTGGGCAGAAGGGTTTGCAATGTGAGCTGGGTGGCTCCTGCACTCTTAATTGGGCAGTAATTGTGAGGGTTCACACGGGCAGATGCAGGCACTCTTCAATGCCAGAGTTTCTGCACGAGCGAGCTGAAAGGCTCAGTGGATTGTGTTTATAAGATGATCTTGCGTGGCACAGTGACAAAAAAATAGGCATCATGTGCATTCGTAATTGTGCAACTTAATGGTTCCTCTTGCTGCCCTCACTTTATTTTTCTCTTCCCATGTGCCAAATGCGCCTCGACCACTCATCGTTGCATTCGTCTATAAAAGGAGGAGCGCTTGATGAGAAACGAGCAGTGGATTGCGTTTTTGTTGGATGTGGAATTTCCGGCTTTGGAGATGGGCACCATCTCCATTGCTTGCTTAAGAATTGAGACACTTTGACTCTTTAGAGATGGGCACTCCGATTAATTGAGTAATTATGGGTTCAATCACTCAAGCTTATCGGATAACACGAAAATAGTCGAATACAAAATAAATCGCACTGCTGTTCGCCACTTTGTGCCGCTGGACGTCATCGGCACAGTCAGCTGCGTCGTAGTGGGTGTGGCTCCTAGGGGGTTTCCCACCTTCGATAGGCAGGCGGTGGGAGGAGGTGATACAAATTTTAAATGGACCCAAGTCATCGACCACAGAGTGCTCAGTAACAATATTTTTGCTCAATTAATCGGCTTGATCGACTCATCGCCTCAGCTGTCGGCTTTTTGACCTTAGGAGTCTGGGCACCTGAATCCCTTTTTAACTTAGCTAACCGGTGTACATTCTATGGGCCTAAATTCACATTCTAGATTTGAAGCTTTCGTGACTGCAAGGATTAATACTCTTAGTTATTTCGGTAAAGTCACGTAGGTAAAAAATGAAATTAAAATTTATAAAAATAACTTAACTTGTATTTAAGAGCTTGCATCTTGAATCCCTGCCTCACTTGATGCAGCAAATCTGGCTGTGACGGTTCCACCTGATGACGGAGACTTGTGTTGCCCCCGAAACGTCGTGATTTTATTATTTTATTTTTATAATTTTAATTTCAATTTTTTACCTACGTGACTTTACCTAAATTCACATGTTGGTAGATATGTTTAAAAGGCAATTTTTGCTGAAAATTTGCTTTCGTCTTCCATTACCAACACCAAGGAAATATCACTATGGGATGGGTTTGAGCAGCTTTGTCAACGTGTCCCCTATATCTGCCGTGTCTGGATTACTCTATGCAGTTCCCTACTGGCTATTCTTGGCGTTGCGATTGATGTATTCAAATCAAACCAGTGGTTAGGCTTGTGCCTTGCCATACCACTATACCCTGTGTAATGTCCGATTATTTTTTTAGGTCACGCTATATTATTAAAGAGCCGAGCTCACAGCTTTAAACAGCATTGCTGTCCATGACGTATTCAAGCATATAATTGGCAAATTTGAAAGCTTAAAAAAAGAAACATTCAAAATATAGAGCCTTAACAAGACCAAGAAGAAGAAAAAAAAGACTGTAAAAATGTTGAACAGAAAAATAGTTCCCTATAAAGGTTTTACATCAGATTTATTTGTAGGTGCATTTTAATGAAGAGCAATATTTGAGATTTACACTCACTTTCGTAATAAGGCCATTTATAGTGATATTTAATAGGCTTGCTTCTGGCGTATTTTTTTAAGCCCGAACAGCGGTTGAAACGCTCATCTTGCTAAGATCTATAGGAAACCTGGATGAGTACTGCGTGAGAAAATCTCTAGCCAGGGGGCATATCGCAGTTGCAAACATATAACATGAATTTGACATTAACGGTATATTTATACATAGAGAGTCATGATTTGACTGCGTGTGTGAGTAAGTGTATGTGAGTGTGTGTTTGGTTTGCTGTGCTCTGAACCAACCCCTTTACCTGTGTTCAATTGCGAGCCATGAACAAGATCAGTGGTAGGTGGTAACTGAACCTATACCCAGTCTATCCTAGTTCGACTGAGTCTTACATGAGTACCTCATTCACTTGCTATGCAGAAGGGCCATTTCCTGAAACGTCGCCACTAATATTTATTTAAATTTACACTATGAGACCTCCTTTACCAGTGGCAAAATATAGTAGTAGGTTTTTACCCTTATTAAACTGGTACAAAAACTGACACCTTTATACAAGGCATCATGTTTGCAATAACCACAACACATGCTTACCCTGAGCTCTCAATACTCTGACAGTGCGCTGTTTTTGAGTTGTACGCCTATTAGCGTCATCTGGTCCAACACCAATGGAGACTAGGCTCTAAGAAAAGCTGTCTCGGGTGTGGACCAATCAACTTCAAGGACAGTGCATATCATTATCAGAGTTGTTTCTTTTTGTTTGCATTTTGACTGCTTGTGTTGTGGTTATTGCAAACATGATGCCTTGTATAAAGGTGTCAGTTTTTGTACCAGTTGAAAGGGTAAAACCTACTACTATTCATTTTAATTTTAGGGCCACCGTGTTATTGATTATTATTACTATTATTACTATAATTATGTTCAATGAGTAGTCCGGGTGTGGTCGTGTACATATCACGTTTAGAAGGTCCAGCCCTGGCCACACCACCCGATCGTGTGCACTATGCTGGCCTTCCTTAATAGGTGTTCTTGTCTGCTTGGCATAAGAGGCAATGTTTAAACATATGGTAATAACTAGTTGACTAACACCACCTATTTCCGATAAGGCTACACAGTAGGCATGCAAATGATTCACTTCCCTGGCAGTTTGATGAATCGTGGTGATTTGAAGTTGTGGTTCGACCCAAAAGTAAAAAAAATGCCTTCCTTCCTTCGCCAGCCTTGTCTTCCTTCAGTTTCCTTCGCTCCACTTTTCCCAAAAGTCACGTCACTATTTCTCGTGATTGCATAATTTGCCACGATCGTAAATAATCGATTGTCACGTGCGCGCAATTCAGTGCGCGCGTCATATCGAGCATCGCAATCAGCTCCGGTTGAGCAACCGACGCAACGATGCACGCCTAACAAGCGTGGAGGCCGACCGCTGCCTTCCCTTGCTTCTAAACCCAAATATATTCGGCACGGCGCGTGCAACCGAACCGATCCCCCGCACCCCCTCGGCCATCGTCGCACGGCCCACAATTTCCCGTCCGCATCCGGCGCTCGCTGACCCACCCGTTTCAATTTTTCCCCCGACATTTGAACGCGTGGCGAAGGCTCCCAGCGCGGCCGCGCCGCCGGTGCACAGCTCCCCGCCGCGTCGACGCTCGCCGGCCCGTCGGCCCGCTGGGTGGACCTGCGGCCCATGCAGAGGGCCCTGCACGAGCCCTTCCAGATCACCGTCTACGAGATCGACGACCTCGAGCGGCTGGAGCAGAGGAGGAGGCCCGATGACACCGAGGTGAGAGGAGCACCCCCCCCCCTCCCCTGTCACCCCCCCCTCCCCCCTGCGGTTTCGCCTGATGTCATCCAAGGTGAAGTTTCCGCCTGTGCACGTTGGACGCTGCTGTTGGGGCCGCTACTTTGCTAGAGCCGTGCCATGTAGCTGCGTATGTGTTTACACGTTTGTGCATGTATTTTATATGTCATTGGAACCTCATTTGCAAGTAAAAAATATGCCTTTTGGCGTCATCTGGTCCAACCCATGTGAGACTAGGCTCTAAGGAAAGCTGTCTCGGGTGTGGACCAATCAACATCGAGGACAGTGCACATTATCAGAGTTATGTTTTTTGTTTGCATTATGACTGCAGGTATTGTGGTCTATGCAAACATGACTGCTTGTAAAAAAAAAGTGTCCGTTTTGTTGCCAGATAGAAGGGTAAAAAAACCAATTATCATATTTTATACGTGTTCATGCATATGAATTCAAACATCTCGTGTGTCTATAGATATGTCCTACATGCCTATGTCTATCAGATTGAATAGGATGCCAGTCATGTTTTGCATTTAAGTCAAGATATGGTTGTCACTGACTAGTTCAGAGGTCAGACTTGTCTTATGCATGTTGAACTTCTTTCACAACCACGGCAATCGGAGGTGTGCGGGAAGGACGACAAACTTCTGCATACGTAGCCTACATACGCACGCACACGTTGATCACATATAAGGGAGGCTTCCTAAGATGTATGAACCCGCTCCCTGATGGCCTCGTTGGGCCTCGCAGGCCGGCCTGCAGGACCCAGAGTGCAAGCTGCGCCTGCTGGAGGGTCGGCAGCGCGTGGCGGAGGAGCTGCGGGCGCGTCACGGCCTCCTCCTGGGCGAGCTCACCCACGCCAAGCGCCTGCTCATGCTGGACCCGCTGCAGTGGAACGACGAGTGTACGGAGTTCACACGCTCGCACGCGCACGCACACGTACACGTCCATTCATGCACACGGAGACGCACGTGTTCATTCGCACGCTCGCGCATGACGAGTGTACGGAGTTCACACGCTCGTACGCGCACGCACACGCACACGTCCATTCATGCACACGGAGACGCAGTGTTCATTCGCACGCTCGCGCATGACGAGTGTACGGAGTTCACACGCTCGTACGCGCACGCACACGCACACGTCCATTCATGCACACGGAGACGCACGTGTTCATTCGCACGCTCGCACATGACGAGTGTACGGAGTTCACACGCTCGTACGCGCACGCACACGCACACGTCCATTCATGCACACGGAGACGCACGTGTTCATTCACACGCTCGCACATGATGAGTGTACGGAGTTCACACGCTCGCTCACTCACTCACTCGCACGAATAGCCTGTAACAGCAAGTGCTGTTAGCGAGCGCTTATACAGGCCGGCACGGCAGGCGAGGTGGTGGGCGGCCAGGACCGAGCCCAGCCGCCTTTGTGTCCCCAGTGGCGATATTTACACACAGCACCAGGTACTCATTTGAGGTTGAGTCGACCTAGGGGCGGCCCATGACTGCATTAGATAACCGTCGCTGGTGTTGGCCGTGAACGGGAATCGAACTCAGGTCGCCGGGTTCGTAGCGCAGCGTGCTAACAATGCCGCTCCCCATGTGTGCATACACGCATCCACCCGTTTGCACAGCACCAAACCGCGAAAACCTCACGCGGCAGCGTACGGCCAGTGGTTGAATTTGCTAAGGCTGACGTATCGAGTGCGTTTCCGGGGTCCCGTGCAGGATGTGCTCGACGCGCATGGGCACCGTCGCGGGTGTTTTTGTTCACGTCGTTTGACGAAAAAAGGCAGGGTAATAATTGCGTTTTGTCATCGCCATTGTTGTTGTTGTTGTTCCCCTACGGTCGGTGCGCTGCAGTCGACATCGAGGAGAGCTTGGAAAGCTGCACCCTCGAGTACCTGGAGGCTCTGGAGTGGAAGACGGCGCGACTGCAAGACCGCCTCGACCTGTGCCGCGCCAAGATCATGATGGTCACCTGCTTCGACGTCACTTCGTGACGCTCGGCCGCAGATGTCGGCAGTGCACGTCGCGACTTTAGTTTTTTTTTCCGTGACGACTCTTGCCTCGTTCTCCGGCCCCTCCTTCGTCCCCTCAATTGCTCCGGATCGTCCGCATCACAACCGACCCGGCCGACGGGAGCTCGCCGGGCAATCGACGCTGAACCGCGTGTGCGCGTGTGCATTGCGGCAAGGTATTTGAAGCCTGTTTTTTGGTAAAATGGTGTCGTGAATGCCAGTGACGCTGCGGGTGGAGAGCACTCGACTCGCAACCTGAAGCTTCAAGTCCCCGTCTGGCGATCGATGAAGCTTTCATCGGTGGAACGTCAGCCAGCGAGCTTCCTGCGTAGAGACCGGCACTCGCCATGGGAATGTGGAATTCCCCATCACTGGTTCAGGCCTGCCAACAGAGATGAGCACATCTCGATTGCTCACGTGGGCAGGAGGACATTTTTGACTTTTGACGACTGTCTATGCCTATACAGCATATCATTCTCATCAGCCATATACCAATTATTGCCTTGTGGCAGTTTGGCCAATGGGGAATACCGTTTGCTCAGTGGACATGTGTTTAACCCCAGCAAGCATTCAGACTGAAACCATTGCTGTAATTTTCAGTCAAATCTACACTTTTTTTGCGTTTCGTTTGCAAAACCTTTTCATGACCACCCCCCCCCCTCACCCCCTCTCGAACGTACACTGTGCAACGCAAGATTGGCGGCCTGTAGGCATCTAATGGACTTTGTGGCCCGCCGCTTAAATGAGCAGCCCAAAGAGATTTTTTTTTTAGGCCTTTATTTTATTTGAGACTTTGCGAAAGCAGTCGGTGGAACCCACCGCACGCAGCACTTCTGCCACGCACCAGGCCCCGGCCACGCGGAGGACGGCACGGGGCCTGCGCATCGGACTTGCTGTGCACGGCCTCTCTTTGGGGTCAATCGTAGCAGGGCGGCCACTTTCACCGCGGCGGGCCCTAACCTACACGGCGTCATGCCGAGGGTGTGCGGGATTTAAATGGACGAGTCGAGCAAATTTTAATCGGATCGGTTTATTCGGAAACGGCGGCATCGGCCATCGTCGTGGCACCGTGCTAAATCGTAGATGTCTTCTTCTTGACTTTACTTTCCCGTGTCCTTTGCGCACGCACAGAAGCGCAATTTTTGGAACTGCGATAGTACCATACTGTACGTGAGCAACAACGAGACACTCGACCTGAACGTGAGCAGAATTTTTTGCCGTTTGCGTTTTTTACGTGGGGGGGGGGGGAGGTGGGGCAGCAGATTTGAGCGCTGCACGAGACCGGAAAATATGAGGAACCGCACGTGCGCGTGCGTGCGTGCGCGCGCGTGTGTGTGGTCACTCGCCAAGAGAAGCTGAGCAAATCGTCGTTCTCTGCCCGGAAAAAAAATACGGCGATGCACAACCCACAAAAACCACTCTGAGGAAATTGCCTTTTTCGTTTCAAAATGTGACTGTGGAATCCCATTGAATCTCACTGACACGGCATTCCAATGTGACGTCCTCTATACAATGCATGCTGCGGTGACCGTTCCCTCCGTAAACTCCTCCTGGGGGGGGCGGGGGGGAGTGGGGGAAGGCGATGGCTGGCGCAGGTCCGAATTTTGTCGCGGATTTGAAGAGGCCCCACGATGGATTGTTCCCGCTCGGGCGACTTGGAATTCCAAGGCGCCTCCAGAACTCGCACGCAGCGACAAGCGGTGTTAGGTGAGCTGCAGAGCTGCGAAGCGCGAGAGAGTTTGAAGCATTTTGACGACACTCACGCGGTTTATGAAGACCGGATAAGTTGCGGTGAACGTGCTGTACACATTAATGTTTCTAGTTTGTGAAAATACAGCGTAGGCATGCAGCACACACACACACGGACGATAGTTGGGCTTCTATAACATACTGTTACACCAAGCGTCGATGTGAAGATATTTTTTCTCGTTTATTCTAGACATGCGTAGTTCGCAATCGTCAACACAACGGCAATTTTTTTTGTTTATTTTTTTTGTTCAAATATGTTTTGCACACGTAATATTAACGCAATCACATCGTATATTTGCTAAATTAATGTAAATATGCACACACAATGTAATTTATTAATAACAGACTAATCTTCAACGCCCATATATTGCGTGCGTGCGTGTGTGCGCTGCATGAATATCAAGGCCATGCCTGCATTGCATATTTGTATTAACATTTCTGAAATCAGGAAAGTATTTATTTAGGATACATCAAGTGCCTTATACAATTTGTTTCAAGAGTAAGAAAGTTATCATGTTTCTGTGTAAGGTGCTACAACAACAAAAACAACAACTAAAATACACACACCAGCACACCCGACAGATAATGCGTTGCCAAGTCGCACGTTTAATAATTCTCAATTATTTTGCGTCATCCTCTTGCATTCATTCACGGCAAACTTTCACACAGAGCCAGTTGACTGCTCCCAGGTCCACTCTCGCAACAACAAAAAGAAAACATGAGCACAGTGAAACAAGAGTGGTGTTTGTTGTTGTTTCGAGTCACGGTCTGTAACCGCCTTCTTTTTTAATTAGCAATAAATTTTGTATTGCAACGCGCAAGTCCAACACTTTTATACTTTTACACTTTATATACAAATACAGCACAGGGTGATCGTCAAGTCCCTCCCTGGGTTTATTTTTAACTACCTTATCTCCACAAACAAATGAATGTTGTTACACATTTGAAATACTTGCACACCTCGTGACACCGCTCACGGATCTTCTACTTCTGCGCTTCAACTTGAAGTCCTTCATCTAGCTCGTACGTTCGTCACCCGGGATTTGCAATATCGCCAAAATGTTCTTTTTCAACGCCAATTTAAATGTTTTTTGTTTAGCCGCAGCTCTTTATCCTCCCGTTGAGTTCTTCTGCGTTTCATATTCTTAGGTTTTTTCGGTAACGTCACGTAGGTAAAAAATTAAAATTAATAAAAGTAAAATAAAAATAAAAATCACGACGTTTCGGAGGCAACACAAGCTCCCGTCTTCAGGTGGAACCGTCACAGCACGATTGCTGTATCAAATCTAGAATCTTCTGCGTTTGCTTGGGCTTGGCCGTCCGGCGACTTTGGACTCTGATTAGATGCCCGTTCAACGCTGTTAAAGTCGTTATCGTACGGCCTTGAAGGCTAAACTTACAGAGCTCCCTTGCACCCCCGACGCGATTTCTTTAAACGTAATCGTCCATGCTTGTAATGTCCTCTCAGATTACGCCTCGACCTAACAACAACAAACAAAAAACATTAAATGGCCAATCTATTGGGTTATTATCTGTATTGACAAGACATATTGTTTGTAAAATGTAGGAGTCAAAGACTCAGGGAGTGACTTCACAATTTCCCTGTATGTAAGCTTATCAACGGCACTTCTTCGAATTGTTCCATGAATCTCTTTTCGAGTTGTTTTTGGCTGCCTTCTTCTTGGTTCTTTCGGTAAAGTCACGTAGAAGGGAAGTAATAAAATAATAAAAATAAAACAATAAAACAATTCTCACGAATTGTCGTGAGAATTGTTTTATTTTTATTATTTTATTACTTCCCTTCTACGTGACTTTACCGAAAGAACCAAGAAGATGAATCCCTGCAGTCACGAAAGCTTTAAATCGAAATTTGGCTGCCTTGTCTCTGACACGTATCACGACACGAACTTGCTATAAACTTGGGCTTGCCATCGGTTGTTTCCCGACGCTGAGTAAACGGTTGTTCACACGTACCTACTTTCTCCATACCTCACGTGAACTGGCTCGGATGTCCAATTACCAGAGGTGGGACAAAGTCATTGTTATGCAAGTCCAAGTCGAGTCTGAAGTCATCAAATTCATGACTCGAGTCTGACTCGAGTCCAAGTCACATGACTCGAGTCCACACCTCAGAGGTGGGACAAAGTCATTGTTATGCAAGTCCAAGTCGAGTCTGAAGTCATCAAATTCATGACTCGAGTCTGACTCGAGTCCAAGTCACATGACTCGAGTCCAAACCTCTGCCAATTACCGATAACCCAGGAAGGGAATGCAATCTTTAAACACATATACTGTTCATTACATCTGCATATATATATCTACACACATGGGGCTTCAAAAAAACGTTAACACTTCTGAGAATTTGAAACAATACCACAAAAAATGTGGCCTCCGGGCTCTGGAGACCACCTGGAGAAGATTCCAGGCATTTGTTGACAACGATGGCGAACAAATGGAGACTCTTTGACTTTTTGAAGCTATTAACGTACATTTTGTATCATGCTAAAGTGTATTATCTGATTTTTTCCCATTAGAAAAGATAGTTCCATGTAAGTGTCAACATGTTTTTGAAGCACCCTAAATACACACGATGGAGTAGAATTACGGGGTGGTGCAGTGGCAGCAACAACAACAACAAAGATGGTGAGGAATTGTTGTCTTTGGATGGATGTTGTTCTGGTGGCTTATTCAGCAGTGTTGGTGTCATGTCAAGATGCACGTGGCAGCTTTTTTTTTTTTAATTTCCCACCGATAAAGGGCACTGCGTATGTCCTGTTATGGCCGTGGGGCACGGTTTGATGATCACAGCACCTGGTTCCAGACGAGTGTCGCTGAAACCCCGAGGTCTTTTTGAGTGCGTCATTTTCGTCCATGTGTTGTCATTGGTTCAGGCTCAATCGCGGGTGTGCAAAAACAACACGGCACGCGTAAATTGCTTGCTCACCGTGCCACAGGAACCGGTTTTCAAATTTTTTTCAAGACTTTTCACACATGAATTGACAAAATAAGTTTTTTTCAGTCCTTTCTTTTCTTGGTTCTACGACAAAAACTTTGGATATTTATCAAATTTGAATACGCGGTTCATTCACAACCAGACATTTTTGTATTTCAGCACCAAAGCTGCCTCCCAATGCTGTAAATGTTTACGTGAACAAATATTCACCATTAATTTGCTCCCCCCCCCCCTCCTCCTGAAGACAAACCAGAGACAAATAACAATTGGTTGAAATGGCACGAAACACACCTGATAACTTTTGAGGAGAGGCCATTTTTGATCATCATTGCCAAGGCACAAACTTAGCAGACATCATCATCATCATCATTTGTGTTTCATTCTCTTCATTTAATCATGCACCGTTCTATTCTAAAAAGGCGGTTGAACGTGTGATACATTGTCGGCCATTGTGCTCGCGCTCTCTGATGTCGTTCCAGACAAAGCAATCTGGCTTCCATCTTTACACCGGTGCATTGACGATAGACGAAACACGAAGATGGTCCAAGGATACAACGTGATATTTTTTTGGCTGATGGGTGGGGATTCATCACGGAAGGCGTGAAAAGTGTGGAATATCTGTGATCTGCCACCTCAACTCCAAATCAACTGCAGGTGGGCTCGTCCTATCTCCTCGTGTTGCCCCACGGATGCATCGCTCGGTGAAGCTAAAATGCTTCTTTGGAGACATCGCAGCCACTGACATTCTGTCCATCACACGATCCATTTGGAGATGTTCTTTCTTGCTACAGCAAGTGTAACCTCTTTAATGCCATACCTCTTGGGCTTTTACAATTAGCGCTGACAGACAAGAATTCGTAGTAACACTACACTGTCCATAAACTGCGGGATGAAGGCCTTCCTCTATGCCATGTCGGTCATGGGGGTTGTTTCGCCATACTTCACCGCGCAGGTCGATGTTTGGTTTGTGAAGGTGGGGGGGGGAGTGTCACGTGCGGGCTGGCAGTGGCCAGGAATCAAACTCAGGCCGCCAGGTTCATGGTGGTGCGCTAATCGCTGCACCACCACTCGCAACTTTGGACGCATACAAATGAGTACATTTTAAAGGGTGATGGAGATGCATTGCCCCTGATTATATAAAAAAACAATGCTTAAAAGGGACATTTTGATATTGAGTGATATTAAGCATTTTTCTATGCAGTTGAAAGTATTTTGTTAATGGTCTGTGTAAGTGGGCACAATTGTGTGTTGATAATTATTGTTTAACTTGTGTTACTGTGCAGGACGCCCTAAAAGTAAGATATTAGGAAAGACTGTAAACTTATTACGTTGTTATTTTTGTATGCGTATAAAATGTGTCAAATCGAAACATTGATCAAATTTTTTGGTTACAAATACTTTGTAACTTTCTGCTGACAGTAATGCAAAAAACGAAGTTGTGTATTTACAGAACGTGTACAATTTCCACACGTGGCTTCCATCGTTGCCAGAAAATGCAACAGTTTAAATGGACATTCATTGTGATACAATCATGTTTTCTGTTTGTTTGTAAATTGCATGAAAAATAGCATTTAAATACAGCCGTAGAGTAAAAAACGAATGGGAGACAGAATTGTATAGTTAAAAAAACACACATACACAAGAAGATAAAGGTACATTGAACAAAAAATTACTCTTGTATTATAAGTCATCTTTATTGCAACGGTGTAATATTTTATATCTATTTTTGAAATGTCATTCATTTTTGGAAAACAAATAAAGATGTTACATTTTGATAATACACCGATCCTTTTCACTTTGTGTGCATGCTGAACGAAAAACACATCTAGAAACACGGTGTAAGGCCATGTGTATGGGTTGTGTGATGCTATGATACCAATTATTGACAATTATTTCCATCCACAAAAGCCTCACTGAGTCGTTAAGGCTGTTTTTTCTTTTCAGGATGGCCCTCTGGATTGGGATAATTGGGCCAATTTCGCGGCAGTGATGAGTGTTTGGACTGTGAGAGTCTACTGAAGTAGATGGGACCCCAAACCCCCCTCCCCCACACACAAACGTGGGGAGTAACACTCTATCCCACCATCCACTGGCCACCTCGGAGGCCAATCTGTAATACCTGGTTTTCCCAGAAAATTATACCATCCAGCTACCAAAGCAGGCTCAACCGTGCTTACCCTCTGAGATATCGTGAGGTCGGCCACATTTTAAAGGGGATTCGGTCACGCTGCTGTAGGTTGCGAGTTCACATCGTGGTCAGGGGTCAATGCATCCAATCATCGTTCCCTCCACGGTCAACAGAGTGACTACCACTCCGCGCAAAGCAACAAACAGTTGTCACCGTGGAGAATCTACCTTCTGCCATGAGAATGTGGAATTTGTCTGACCGGCTCAAGGCTGCCCGATGCCACCACATTTTGCGTATAAGCAGGGAGATATTTGCACTTGATAAGACAGCAATAATAACAATTATATCATCCAGCTTGCGTTTTAGCTTGTAGACGAGCCCCAACAAATGTTCCTTAAAAAGTGAACATCATTTTTGACTAATATGCTGTCGTGGTCTCATCGCTCAGGCCATAAACAAATGCCCTACCTTTGCAATGCATTTTGGTGAAAAAAGAATCCTTCGACATTTTTAATACTATAATTTGGAATAGCGACACGATTAATTCACCCTTTACGTGTTTATCAGGCTCATTAACTCTCTCCACTAAACACTGCACCAGTGGTCACAGACGAAGTAGTCCGTGGAACACACCAGCGATCCGCAAGATCTTGTGATATGGTCCGTGAAACTGTTTCAAATACTCGGATTTTATTTTTCAAACAAACACCAGCATTTTTTTTACTGGCATGGTCGTCTGAAAAAAAAATCCTTGAAAGCTGAGAGAATGGTCCACGTGACTAAATAGCGATTTAAAGCTTTCGTGACTGCAGGGATTCATCTTCTTGGTTCTTTCGGCAAAGTCACGTAGAAGGGAAGTAATAAAATAATAAAAACAAAACATAATAAAATCAAATAATTCTCACGACGTTTCGGCTATGTAGCATATTCATGCTAAATTCCTCTTGATATGCACATTCTTTTGTTAAGGCTCTCTTCTTCTTCAACCTCCAACTCAGCTTATATATAAGCTCCTAGCTTGCCAGTGTCTCATTCTTCACCTGAAGACGGCTGCTTGCGTTGTAGCCGAAACGTCGTGAGAATTATTTGATTTTATTATGTTTTATTTTTATTATTTTATTACTTCCCTTCTACGTGACTTTACCGAAAGAACCAAGAAGGTGACTAAATAGGTTGAGAAGCGTTGCTCTACTCGGATGTTTCTGTAAAGAAAGTCATCACAATCAGCCTTTTTCTAGCTGATGCTTGATTAATCAGTCTTTCCTCCTTGAGCTACTATATCTGGCCCATACGTATACGGAATGATAAATAAAAATATTAGATGACATTGCTTTTATTATCTGGCTGCTACTATACATTTCCACATGATTAGCCACTTGGGTGAGCTATCACTTGTGGCGAGGTCGCCTCTGAAAAATATCTGATGGCTCAGTGGGCCTCACCTGGCAAAATAAAAACAGTTAACAGTATCGTTCATTTTTCGATGTAAAGCTTTCGTGACTGCAGGGATTCATATTCTTGGTTCTTTCGGTAAAGTCACGTAGAAGGGGAATAAAAAAATAAGAAAAATAAAACATAAAAAATAAATAA